CCCCCCCCCCCCCAAAAAAAATTTGGGCACCCCCAAAAAAACCTCCCCCCCACAAACCCGCCCAGAGATTCCAATCGCGATTAAACACCTAAAAATTCCCTTTTTTTTTAATTTTTTTTTTTTCAACCCGGCGTGGTTTCCACAACTGCCCGTAAAAACCAGGTTTGGACCTTAAATTATTTATTTCTGATTTTTATTTATTTAATTTTTTTTTTTTTCACCTCTTCATCCTCCCCACCCCCACCCCCTCCCCAAATTTATAATAAATAAAAATTCATTTAATTTTTAATATTTAATTGGCGGAAAAGATTCGGCGGGGAGGGGAAAATGAGAAGCGCGAGGTTGAACCAGCATCAATTTCATTTTTTTTTTCATTTTTTCTTTTTTTTTTTTCCTCCCCAAGCCTCTCGCGCCGTGATTGATGAAAAACGTAACAGGTTCGGGGGAAGAAATGGCTTTTAAAGATGTCTTTCTGTTTATTACTCCCGCGATCATTTAAAACCGCCCCCCCCCGCACACAATAATCCGCTTTGGATGAGATAAATCGGCGCGTCATAAAACGCTTTTTATGCTCAAAGTAATGAATCCACTCTTAACCCGTCTCGCTCCTTCGCAATCTTATTTAACAATCACCTCGGAACCGCGGATTCGTACAAATATCTCAAAACCCAACCCTTTTTTAAGCTAAAAAAAATTTAAATATATAGGTATATTTAAACCATCAGCTGCCGGTAAATATTTCCCGTAAAGAAAAGCGAGGTTTTGGGGTGAAAAATTAAGATTTCAACCAAAGGCGGAGTGGAAAAGCCCCTCCACACCGTGGGGATGAAACCCAAAGCGTGAAACCGCCTTAGCCCTGCAGAACGCAATTAAAATCCGAGGAGCTTTAATTGCTTCCCAACGTCAGCTTCATTTGGGAGTTGAGGAGAGAGGGGGAAAAAAAATTAAATAATAAATAAATTACAATGAGAGCGCTGCGCTCTGGGTTGGCTCCGTTCTTATTTTTATTATTTTTTATTTTTCTCCCCCTTTTTTTTTTCTCCTTCCTCCTCCTCCTCCTTTTTTTTTTTTTTTTCTCCCCCTTTTTTTTTTCCCCTTCCTCCTCCTCCTCCTCCTCATTTTTTTTTTTCCTTAATTCTCTTTTTTTATTATTATTTTTTTAAATTTTGTGGTTGTTTTGGGTGGGGTTTTTTTGCTGTTTTTGTGTTTTTGTTTTTTAAACGCTGATTTTTTTTTTCACATTTCCTCCAGCCAAGAATCCACCCCCACCTCAATAATAACGACCCTGGAGAGCAACGCGAATAAAAAAAATAAAAACCCGACAGAAACTTCGCCAAATTACCGGGCTCGCCTGAAGACGACAAAAATTGGCACGAGATTTCTACGAGGGGGAGGAAAGAAAGAAAGAAAGGAAAAAAAAAAACCCCAATCCAACAAAATCAAGTGCCCACAAAGGGCTGGGAGTGTTTTAAATTCAGCCTCCAAACCCTTCCCTCCCATCCTGCCGGCTCCAGGTGACCTCTCAAGGCTTCGTTTTTATCCTTCTCAACCCGTTAATTTCGCTTTTTTTCCCCATTTCTTCATTTTTTTCTTCATTTTTTTCTCATTTTCTCCCTTTTTTCCCCCCCCCTCTTTTCCCCCTTTTTTTTTTTTTTTCGTGATTTCTTCCTTTCCTCCCCTCGGTTTCTTTCCTTTCCCCTTTTCTCCACCTTCATTTTTGTCGCCTTCCTCTCTTTTCCTCACCTCTAAACTCCGCTTTTTAAATTTTTTTTTTGTTTTTTCCCGGCAAAATTGATATTTCCAGACCTTTTAATTCCTCCTTTCTCCATCACCCCACCCTTTTTTCATCCTCCCCCCCCTTCCACCGCCTCCTCCCCGGACAGGAGGAGACGAAACAGGAAAAAAAAAAACCACAATTTGACAAATACATTTCTTCTTTTTAACCATTGAAAAACCCAAATAATAACAATAATAAATAATAATAAATATATTTATATAATAATAATAATAATAAATGAAGATAAACGTGTTCTTCCCTTACCTTTTGACGTCCATTTCTGTGGCAGGAGTGGGAATTTTGGGGCAGGAGAGATAAGATTTGGCTTATCTGTTTTCTGACAAATATTGTCCCGACCTGAGCGCCGTCCGTGGCCCCTCGGGGCTTCTCGAATTTTTCAATTTGCCCGGAAAAAGGAGAAATTTCCCCCTCTCCAAAAAACAACCCCCGGTGGTGCAGGATCCCCTCTGCCCTTCCATTCTCCCTGAGATTCCCAAAAAATCGCCGGGTGAAGTGGGAGGGGAACGGGGTGGGGGGAAAGGAGTGGGAATTTAAAAATAAAAATTAAAAAAAAAAAATTAAAAATATTTTTAAAATATATTAAAAATGTATTAAAAATATTTTAAAAATTACCCAAAAAATACATGAAAAATATTTGAAAAAATACCAAAAAAAAAAATACTGTATAATTTAAAAAAATTATAAAAAAAAATATAAAAAATATTTTAAAAATTACCAAAAAAATTACGATATCATCAAATTAAAAATAAAATTAAAAAAAAACGGGTAGAAGTGTGTGGCCAGGCAGGGCGGGAGCGGTGCCCAGGGGTGCTTGTGGGTGCTCGCTGACGCTCCCCCCCCTCCCCTCTGCCCCTGTTTTTTAGCCCTGCCGAGCTTATACACAAAAAAAGTTGGAAAAAAAAAATGTAAAGAGAGGGCGAGAGCCCTACAGAGGACACTGATCCGACCCAAGGTGCAGCGGACAGAAGAATGGTGCAATATAACCACATGGGAAATAATAAAAAGTTCATGTTCACGGTTAGCAGTCCACATGACCGGCTCTGGCCAATCCCAGAACCCAGCCACTCATAAAGTTCTATCACAAAGTTGTAAATTTTCATAAAACAACAAGGAATTTATTGCATTTCTTCATGACCGGTTTAACAGCAGTCTTTTTCTTAGCCGCCATCTTTTTTTTTTTTTTTTTATATATTATTATTATTATTATTATTACTATTATTATTATTCTTAATTTGGATTTTTTTATTTTTAATTTGGGTTTGTTTTTTTTTTAATAAACAAAAAAAAATATTTAGGGAAAAAATCATAGATTTTTTAAAAAATGGGGTTCGGGGATATTTGAATTATTTTTTTTTTCACATCACCCCATCCTCAGCTTGGAGTTGGGGGGTGGGGAGAGGGAAAAAAATGGATATTTTGGAACAATAAAACCCCCCCAGAATAAAGAGCTGGAGCTTGGGGTCGCATTGAACCGGGGGGAAGGCGCAGAAAAACACCGGGGGTCGCCGCGCTTTTGGGCTCAATCCCCCCTTTTTTGGGTCAAAATTGGCACCTTTGAGGCTGGAAGGGGCAAAAGGAGGCGGAATCGGGATTTTTTTAGGTTGAAATGAGGTTTTGGGGGTGAAATAAAAGCAGGAAAAGCGCGGCTGGGGATGGAGAGGGGTTTTGGGGAGGGGTCCCCGCTGCCAAAGCCCCCCTCGGTGACCCCTCGGTGTCCCCTCGGTGTCCCCGGGGGTTTTGGGGTGCCCAGCGTTCCCCCCCGTGCCCCATGAAATTAAATTAAATCCCTTTTTTGCCCCATTTTCCCTGGAATTCTCCTGGATTCCCCCTGCCCCCCCCCAAGGGGTCCTGCCCGGGGGGGGGATGGGAGCAGCTCCAGGGGTCCAGGAGAGGGAGAGAGACGGGAAAATTCTGGAATCTCTTTGATTTTCCTACATATTTATTCATTTCCACCCCTCCCCAAACCCCTTCCTCAGCCTCGGGGCTGCAGAGATGGGAGGGGGAGGTAAAAAAATTTGAAAAAACCGGAATTTTTCCCCCTTTTCCCCTGGATTTTCCCCCCTCCAAATGGGAATTTCGGGATGCTTTAAATAATTCGGGATTCCCATCACCGGGGAGCTCCAGGAGGGAATTTGGGGGCGCTCAGAACCCCGAGGGGGCGCCTGAATTTTTTGGGGGGAGAGAAAAAGAAAACCCCCCCGAGGGCAGGAAATCATCTGGGGGTGGTGGGAGGTGGGGAAGGAGCGGAGCCGCCACCGCCAAATCCTCCCAGAACTCCCAGAATTGGGGTTTTTTTTGGGGGGGGGTTGATTTTGGGGTTTTTGGGGTGTTTTTTTTTTGTTTGTTTGTATTTTTGGGGGTTTTTAGTTCTGTTTATTCCGTTTTTTTTTTTTTTTAGTGTGTATATGTGGTTTATTATTATCATTATTATTGCTATTATTATTACTATTACCATTACTAATTTTTTTTTATTATTTTATTTATTTTTTATTTATTTAATTATTTAATTTATTTAATTATTTAATTTATTTAATTATTTGATCTATTTAATTATTTTATCTATTTAATTATTTGATCTATTTAATTATTTGATTTATTTAATTATTTGATTTATTTAATTATTTGATTTCTAAATTTTTTTTTTAATTTTTTTTTTTTTTTTTTTTTTTTAAATTCCCTTTCCCTCTGCACCTCCCGGAATAAAATCCCGAGCATCCTCCTCTTCTTTATCCTCAAAAGAAATAAATAAATCAACAAACAGGGCGGGGAAGGGAGGTGGGGGGAGAGGCTCAAGCGCTTAAATTTCCTCTCCTTTTGTTTTCCCTGCTTGATTCTTATATTTTTTCTCTTTTTTTTTTTAAATTTTTTTTTTTTCTTCTTCTTCTCCTCCTTCCTCTTCCCCGCGTTTAATTGCTTTAATTAATTTTATTCGCGCTTTGATGCTCGGGCGTTATTTGGTGTTAATGAAAGGGTTGCACTCATCGAAGGGCGGAGGGAGAACCTGAAGAAGAAAATAAGAAATAAATGAAATGGCCAAAGGAGCGGAGAAATGGAGCGAAATTAGTTACGAGAAGAATTAAAGCGAGGTGCGGGAAGGTTTTTAGTTTTTGGGGGGGAGATTTTGGGTTTTTTCAATTCCTCTTTTTTTTTTTTTTTAGTTCGTTTTTACCTCGCTCAGAAATAGGGAGAGGAAGCAGAGCCCAGCCCGCATTTCCACAGGCCCGAAAATCAATTATTTCTCAGGATATTCCCCAAATCTCCCCAAAAAGCAGCGATATCTTCACGGGATTGGCTGCCCCAAAGGAAAAGGGGAGAAATTCGGGTGATAAATCGGGATAAAAGGAGATTTCATCGCCTTTATTTCAAAGCCAGCCCAAAAAAACTTGTTTTTAATAAACCGAAGAGGAAAGCACCCAACGCTCCGGGGATTATTGGAGATCTCCTCTTTATTTCCAAGAATAATAATCACAGACAAAGGAAAAAATAATAATAATAATAATAATTAATAATAATAACAAAATAGCAACGCGCCGCCATTAAATAATTTGCTACTTTGATATACAACATTTGACGTAGCACAATATTAATTCCTCTTCTTTTTTTTTTTCTTATTTTTTATTATTTTTTTTCCCCTTTTTTTTTTCCCCGTAGAGGCTCCGACAACGAAGGTAAAAATATCCACAGAGACAAAAAGAGCATCGCAAGGAGAAAAGAACCACAGAGGTTCCAGGGAGGAAGGAGGAATAATAATTCTTATTATGTACAGGACTCTACGAGCTAAATGTAATTTGCATTCAGGCTTTCGGGTCACATTTTCTAAATTAAAGGTGCTAAACACGACCACGTTATTTCAAACCCGCCCCCCAAAAAATAAAATATTCCACCCCCCCCCAAAAAAA